ATCACAGATTTTGTGGAACAAGCAGGCTTTTTTTATTCTCTTCATGAATTAAATTTAGAATGCTGTATATAGTTCAGTACTTGTCACACATAAATCTTAAGTATATTGAGAAATATGCTTTAACAACTCTCTTGCCTTTTAACTGGCAGGGATCCATATTTTATTGGAAATCTTGATGTTGTGTATGAGGTTTCCATGTAGACCTCTTCTGCTTTTGTATATGGGACTTCGAGGGTGCAGGACACAAATAAGGGTTTAAGTGTCAAATTATACTATTGAGGTTCACTTCAAAAGTGAGGTTCTGGCTCTGCAGGGCATTCCAGTACCACGTGACATGCTGAGGAAAGGCATTGGCAGAGAATGAAGGGAAATGAAAAAAGCATAGCATTGAGGTCACAGTGCCCACTTTGCTGCAACTGCATGGCTCAGTTTTTGCATGGGGACAAAAAAAACCCAAACCCTCCCTGCATTCTGTCTTGTAATTTGTTGAAGAAAAGCTGTTTTTATGTTCTGTCCATTAGACCATGCTTCCTCTGTTGACTCATCTATGGCAGGGATCAAGAAAAAGGTGAAGAACATTATCTTTAAATTTTCTACTGAAAAATAAGTCATAGAATTTTTTTCATAAAGTTTTCATCGACATTTATCAATGGGAGAAAGCACATGGAAAGCTGTTGGTTTTCGTGAGTACCAGTGACAAGATACAGGGCTTTCCATATTTATTTTATAGCATATTGTTACTTGGCAGCAATGCAGTGGGTCCTCTTAGGGGAAGAGAGTGAGGAAGGTAAGGAGATGCTGAATGCTGTTAGAATTTATGCTTTTGGGGCTGTGAGTAAAACCTTCAGCATAAGAATTAATCTGGACATTTATTCATTTTTAGGGTTTATTTTTTCTTTATATAGCAAAGGTTAAATGATGCATTTGTATGGTAAATGTCATAATTTCTCAGTTGGCTTGGTTTGAATAGCCAGTAATCATTCTCTGTGATGCTTGTGACCATATTGAGATTTTATTCAATAGCCATTGAAATAAACACAAGGGGGAAAGTTACTATTTTTGTTTTGTTATCGTTTTGCGTAGGCCACATGCTGTTCTTTGTATTTGAAATCCCTTTCAAAGATATTTCAACTCAAAATTCACAATAGAGTTTGGAGGATCCAGTGATTATGTCTGGCAATGATACTGTGGATTTAGGTCCTAACAAAGCCTAAAATAATCTGTTTTAATTAACTAAATTATTTTTTTTTCAATAATATGATTAGAAGGACCTTGTAGCATCATTCTTACTTTTATAATAAAGTCACAAAGAAGAGGCAGATTTCAGCTTCTGTACACAAAAAAACCCTACCATATGCTTTAGAAATAACAATCATAAGAATGTGTCTATCTTACACTTTTTAATCCTCTAAAGATGTATGTGTTTGCTTCAGCGGATCTTTCCATATGCATAAAGCAAATAGATTGCAGCTTGTAAGAATAAATTTTAAGGGCCAAGAGAATTAAAAAAACCAAAACCTTCCATGGCTCACCAGTAGTCATTTTGTGTTTCATAATAGCAGTAAATGTGAGATAAGCTTAGAAAATTTTTTAGCAGGGTGGAAAATCGGAAAGAATCAATAGCATAAGTGACACTGGGCTAGACATGTAACAGGACACACAGTGAATAGGGACTTTTCTATGGGAACCCATTCCAATGAACTTTCAGCAGGCTCTGTGTCCCATGTGAGTTTGTCTTGTCTTTGTGCTCTGAGAAGACCTTTCTTTCCATAATTTTTATTAAACAAATAGTCTGCATCTGAACGGTTTACTATGTTACCTTTCAGTACTGTGGTTGTATTTATCTTGGTATAGGTTGTGTATTTTTTGTAATTTGAATGCTTGATGGAATTCACATTCTGTAGTCTTAATCCTCAAATGGATTATCCAGGAACATCCATGGCAGTTAATATTTTGATTTCTAGCAGAAATATTTTCTTGGCTGCTCATTAAATGAGGAATCCTCTCCCAAGAGAATTTGTTTCAATAGACTGTAATTGAGGCAATGTACTTCACAACGAATACATGAATATATGTGAATAAAGAGAGGCTAACAATTTCAGTCACGCTTTAGATCACCTTGGAAAGTTAATTTCAGTGTGTAAAAGTGCGTATGCTCAATTTGATGCACATCTTGAGCCAAGGAGAAGGAATTTACAATTCTTCTCTTTTCTGCACTTTGAATTTCTACAGCTTTCTGCTCTGTGAGAGCCAAAGTGCTGTGCAGTGCTTAGCTATAGGCATGTGCCTGATTCAGGCCCTATTCAGTGCTCCTTGGCTAGAGGGGATCTCACCTGTGCCATGTGTGTTTAGCACAGCTAAAACCTCACAGTAGTGAGGTTAAATCTAGGCAACCATGAGGAGACCTTCAAAGTTTGCAGAGAAAGGCAGATTACATTGCTGTCAATAAGAAGGTGATTTTTAAATAAAGCCAGTGTGGAAGATTAGAGAATGGAAAAATGCCTGACTGATTATATTTAAAGAGATTGGAGACAAAAAATGGTGCAGTTCAATACATAAATAAAGATTTAAAGGATATAAAAAATGAACAAAGGTGTCTAAGAAATAGTATGCAGTTAATCAATAAGTACTGCTTTAAATATGCACTGCACAAAGTAAACAAAAAGGGAAGAGAATATTGATCAGCATGTGTTGAAAGCTAGTGACAGGGACTAATCTGACTACACAAAAGAATTAAATCTTCACATAGTTGTTTGAGCAAGATAATATTGTCTGGTCTCTGAACTGCTTTTATCTTTGTAAGACTTATTCTAAAGCATCTTTAACAAGACAGTGATCGCTATTCAGGACTGACAAAAGAGCATAGCTGCATTAAACTTACCATTTCTCAAAAAAAACCACCTAGCACAAGAAAAAAAATAAAGTATTTAATGAGATTTATGTTGAAAGAAAAGCAAAATTAAGCCTGTTTACATGCCTTACTTAAAACAGTTTCTTTTAATAAATAGATTTTTTTTAATTATATGGAAAGTTAAAGTGAAATTAAAGTTCATAATTATGTATGTTTTAGTCGTAGCTTAGGCAGTAGGTGCTGAAATCAGTATTCAGGCAGAACAGGTTAACAATTGCTGAACTGAAGAATTCCTTAATTATTTTCAGTGTGACTCACCTCAGCATATGAATTTAAAGTTTGTAGGATTAGTCCTTTGTGTGTTGCAGTGGAAATTGAAGGTGGGTGATAGTGTTTACACAAGCTAGTAAAACAATCAAACCAACCAAACAAACAAAAAGAAATTAAAACTCCAAACGTTTGCTTCATTGCCAGTGAGGATTTACTGGTTTATACATGCCAATGAGGAATGAGGTCTAAAGCTGTACTGGAATCAGTTTTACTGCAATGTGAATAGGATTTCTTCTTTAATTACAACCTTTCCAGTTATATTTTAGACAGATAAAAAGTCTATTTGCTTCTTTTTATTTTTAAGACAGTACAGTAAAACTACAACTTGTAACATTTCAAATTTAAATAAGGAAAAAAATGTCAAGAGAAGCTGAGGACATTGTATCTTAGAGATGGCTTCTGTATCATTGTGATGTTTATTGGGTGAGCAAGTAGAGAATTAAAAAATAACGATTTGGTCCTTGCAATTTTATTTTTAATAGCTTACAGAAAAAGGACTGAGACTTACAAGAGACAAATGATTGTATTTAAGACTCCAAATCTTCAGTAACAGCACTGTGTTATACTTTCTTGAGAAATTATAATTTGTACTGATTAGGATACTGTACATAGTCTTCAGTCATTATAACACCAGATAGTATGTGACTGACACTCCCACTAGGTATAGATTTTTTTTTAGTATTTGCCTAGATTCATCTTGTTGTTGTCATACAATATTTGTCATGAACCTGAGACTTACAAACTTGAAGTTACTGCCATCTACTTGACATATGTGTCTGGTGTTCACCCTGATGGGTGGGTCTGCAGTGAAGATCTCTAACCTAGAAAGGAGTTGTAGGTTTGTCAGTGTACGGTGCTTGTACTATGCTTTGAGAATCCTAAATGTTGACTTTCCACCTGAAATACGTGAATGAAAACACTGGTTTGTATGTTGCACGCTTGGAGAAACTGATCTTAAAAACTAACAATCTATTCAGCATGTTAGCACTTTAAACTTGAAAAGTAGTTGAAATAATTAAAAAAAAAATATAACACTTAAGAAGCTGTTGTTTAATGGAGTTTGTGAATCTCCAGTTGCTTATCAGCTTCTTTCTGCTGTTTTCCTTATTTTCTTAGCTTTTATTCTTTTTTTTTTTTTAACTTTCATTCTGTTCCTGTTTTAAAATTAACTTGAATATTATGACACTTTTAAAGGAAATTTGTTTCTTAAAAATACACTCCTATCAAAGCAATATCTGGTGCATTGTAGCAAAGTACTCATTGGGTTCTTTCCAGGTTTTTTGAATTAATTTTTTACTGCCTTATGTTGTAAATAAACTTCAAGTACAGAGAATGACGTGGGAATAAAGCATTGTAATCACCACTCAAAAAAAAATCCTTACATTTTTGGGGTAGCTAAAAAAGAACTTGGACTCTCCTGGGACATTGCAAGAGTTCTGATGGTTCTTTCCTTCAACCAGAAAAATTCCACGGTTGTAGGGCTCTTTATCCTATTGATGGTAGGATCTTTTGTTTAAAAGGCTGAAAAAATGGCACGTAGGGCAGAGAAAATATTAAACTGTTCTGATTTTCATTATTTTTATATCTCAGTGTGTATTGGAGCCATTTTCTAAAATGTCTCTAGTAGGCCACAACTCCATGAACCTTTATCTAGATGAGAGGTTCAGAGAAGCATCCATTCTGTTGAGGAACTGGCCGACCCAGACCTCCGAGCCTCTCGTATCTGTCGATCATTAGCGAAAACACGATATGCCGAAATCCGCTTTTCGCAAGTGCTGTTTTGTGATGCTTTCATAATTCTCCCTTTTGCTGTTCACAGAGAGCGAGGACGTGTACCAGCGCCAGGTGCTGTCCATTTCCTGTATCGTCTTTGGCATAGTCGTAGTGGGCATGCTTTGTGCAGCGTTCTACTTCAAAACAAAGTAAGAGCCTTCGTCTGGCGTGCTCGTTCTTTAGCTCCTGTCCTTTTTACAGCTTTACAGTTCTTCAGTTTTTCCCCTCGTTTTCAAGCTGTTGTTACCTCTGGTCAGGCCAGAAATGTTCCCCATGGCTAAGTCCCCCTCGAAAGCAAACACAAGTAATATGTGTTGTTTTTTCTATTTTCTGATATCAGGAGAGAATAGATTGTGTCATTTCCAGTTCTTTTTTTTTTTTTTTTTTTTGACAGCAATAATTTTGTGTCTTTTGCTATCAGTGCAATAATCACTTTCCTTTCTTGAAAATGACAGTTTAAACATACCATCTCCTTTTTGCATTTCATTTCATGTCCCTAAAAGTCCCATTTATTCTGTATGCTGAGAACAAAAGTAAAGTTAGAAATGCAGAAAGAAACAAGCTCTCTGCAGATATCTGCAACCTGTAGCTAATAGTTGTAAACTGTTGATGTGAATGCATTAGTGTCTGTAATATAGAAGCACTTTGACTTATCCAAGTATGGTGAAATAATCTGTACTAAACTATTTTCAAGAGAAATACTTTCCACTCTATTCTTTTATCGTCCCAACTGAACATTATAATATTTATTGTAGTGTGTGTAATTTGAGTTGCAAAAACCTCATAGCAATTACTTGACCTGCTTGTCAGTGCCACTGTATCTATAAGTATGTTCTCTATAGTCGTCATCCTTCATTCCTGTTCCAGCTGGAGCAAAGGAGAGAACACATATCAATGTAAAAAGTACCTGTGTGAGGCTAGTTAGGGTGGCTGAGCACCAAAAATGTGGAAGTTTGCGCTATTTAAAAGTCTGGATGCTTATCTGAATCCCCCTTTCTAGAATTTATTTTAATGGCTAGGAAATCTGATGAGGACTGCTTTTTATTTAAAATAAATTACAATTGATATTTCTATCAGGAAGAAAAAAATAGGAACAAAAAAATAAATTGGAAAAGTCATCAGGTCTTTTTTCCCCCTTTTTCTTTCCCTCAGACCACAGGGGTAGTTCGTTGCTGAACACTCCTACCTGTTCTAATGTCTTGAGAGATTTTGTTTGATTGTTTTTTGGACATCCAGTATGACAGTGATGCTAGCTGGGAAGGACAGACAGGCAGGACAGTTCCTCTCTACAGACTCCTTTATTGTCGTGTAATTTGTAAGCAGAGACAGCCATTTTTGTACTGCATTAGAAATGTCATTATGCATTTTAGATCTGCAGAAGAGCAAGCGAGAGAGAATCTACCTGGAAAGGCTTGGGGGTTTTGCTGAAGAAGAGAGATTCAGAAAAGGCAGAACGCGATTGTCAGTAGGAATAACATCCAGTCAGTGACTGAGCATACTGTGAATAAAATGCTCCTCTGTTATTCACTTGTGCCCCCCTTGGTTTTGCACTGTTGTAGGGAGTGGTGCAGAGCTGGGCTGCAACAGCCTTCAAAATACCATGACTTTGATGAGGTGGTGAGGAGAGCTATGTCTGAAAATAATGAGTGGAAATAACACTTCAAAGATGAACTCACAGGACAATAGTGCGTCATAACTCAGGAGGAGGTGGGGGTGTTGGGTTTGGGATTTTATCTGCATTATAAATATGATAGTTGAGAGGTACAGGGAAGATCTAAAGTGTGCTTATGCCAGATTCTGGGAACTGAATTTTGAAGAGTTATGAGAAAATTAGTCCCTCTGGTTCAGTCAGGAGGTCTTATACAATATATGAGTAGAGTAATGGTGAGATACTAATCAATCCCTAACGCCCTGGCTGTGGCTCCATCTAGCACTGTCCAAAAAGTAAAAGTGTCTAGACTGGGTCTCATAGAGGCCATGTAAAATAGTATTGTAAATGTAACATTGAGCAGTGTCTTAAGGCTGTAAAACCCAACAAATTTGAAGTGCCTCAATGTTTATCATGTGTTAGCTTTTAGTCAGCAGATATTTGAGAACTTCTTTCTCAAGTATATGTATCCTGACTATGCCTGAATGTTATCAAAGCATTCCTCCTGCATGGGGGATTATCCTTGGGTTTCATTTGATGTATAAAAAATTATATATAAAATATTGCTAATAGAGAAATTTTGAATAGTGGACCTGTTAAGAAAAAAGTCTCCCTGAAGACACTGACCCACAGTTTCTTAGTCTGACAATTCTGTAATACCATCTGCTAGAAATAGGCACTTCCCTATGCACCATTGAATTAAAAGTCCTTTAAAATAGAATCAATCCGAGGAAGTTTAGGACTATAATTAAACTCTGTGCCCTTCCAATTATTCCTTTTAGGTTAATCAAGAAAGTGCTGAAAGTGTTAGCAACAGACAAAGAGTACAGTAATGGGCTGCCCTTTACAGCTTAGACTTTTATAAATGACTAGTGACTTTATATCTTGCTGAAGTAACAAGACTTCATTGCCGTTTAACTCTAAAGCAGAACACATAAGGCCCATTTGTTTTGAAAACAAAAGTTATAAAATAAATTTATTAATCAGTAACTTTGAATAATTAATAATTTTTAGTTTTATAGCTGTGCATCCCATAGTTTGGAAAAATAAATATGCAAAAACCTAATATTAATGTTAGGTTGCATGAACATAAAAGGAAATTAATGATTAGATTGTTTTTCTCAGCAAATTATCTTCAGGAGTCTCAATTGTAATCTTAACGATTGCAGTAGTGAAGCTGAATATTCCAGTTTTACTTTAAAGTGTTTATATATATATAAACAACTCTGAACCCAGGTTTTCTAAATAAATCCAAATTAGAGTTCTCAAAATTGTTTTGTTATTTTCCTGATTAAATTCTAATAATTTTTTATGTATTGGAGACATTCCGAAAGTCTGATGCTGTGATCATGTTTCACTATCATTGTTTATACCTTATGTGAGGTCTCCACTCAAAACCCTTGGATGTTCCATAACCATTCTGAAGACCAAAATGCAAGTGGCTGGCTTTCCAGTAGGATATATGAATAGATATGCTTATTTCCTTAGTTGTATGTAATTTAGCTGTTCAGAAAATAGTTATTCATACAAACTCTAAAGTTGCTTTTAGGGATCTCCCCTGGAATTTTATTGGAAGCTCAAGAGCTCATTTTGATATTTTACAAAGTAAATTGTTCAATTTCATTGGTTTCAAAAATTGGTAGGTATAAAAAAGAGAGTTTCAAAATCAACTGACTAATTTGTCAGAGATGTTTCAGAATCAACTGAGTAATGTAATTTGACATTATAATCCTTCAGATTATTTATCTGTTTAGATTATTCCAATAATTACTTCAGAAGTTTTGGATAAGGAAGAATTTTGAAAGTTTTAAGAAGTTGTTTTGCTTGAGAAATTATATCCTTACCCACCTCAGTTTGTAAATTTTACTAATTATGAGTTCCAAACTATACTCAAATTATGTCACTCATATTTGTACCATGTTTACAATGCAAATTCATTCTTTTTCATTTGCCATGCTTTTTCAAAATAGGATGTAAATAGAAAACCTAAGAGATATGTCTAGAGTCCAAGATTTATTAAAGTTTATGACCTGTATTCAGAAAACATGTTATAACAAATACTTCTAAGCAGGTACTTACAGTTTGATGAATGGAAGCATTTGCTTACATTATGACATATTGAATCAAAACTAAGGAACTCAAAGGCAGGGAAAATTCCATGTATTTATTTTAATATATTAAAAACTTTACTATTAAAATTGAGTGTTTGAGCTGGGATACTTTTCATCTCTTGCTTTCATATTGAGGGAACTTGCCCTTTCTTACAGGCTTCCCCAATGACCACATAACTAAGTCATTTTCCTCTAGTTTCTTATGCTTTCCTCCAGTAGACACAAACTCCACTATGAAGAAGTTAAAATTACTTTTATTAATCATTCAGTGTCACATTCGTTGGCCTGACTCAAGTAAGATGCTGTCAAACTTGACCATGTCACAAAGCTTTCAGCAGTCAAATCACCAGAAATTTTTCAAAATGTTGCTAAAGCTTTTTTGCTAAAATCTCAATTTCAGTATAGAAAGGCTGTAATTTTTTTATTTCTTATTCCCTGAAATAACATCCTTCTGAAATTTGGCTCTGAACCCATTGCTGTCCAAAAGCTGCTGGTGGCATAACAAAATGATGCTGCTGCTGGCAAGTCCTTGACCTTGGTGGGTGGTTTTCAGGGCTGTTGGAGGTTCACTGCTGGAAATGCATTTTGTGGGGAGAAAAAGGAAAGAAGGGAAGGAAGGAAAGAATTAAAGTGGTGTTGTGAAGTTATTTCTCATGATTGTTTAAAACTGACAGTCCAAGACAATGTAGCTTATCAAAAGCTGATAAAAAAGCCTTAAATATATTTTGCTAACAGTTTTTACCCAGCTGAGTTATCTGTTTGCAGAAGATAAAAGTAATATTTAAAGTTTGCTGTCTCATATCCTCTGTCATGTGCAGAACTTAATAACTCAGTTTGTCAATGTAGTGTGGCAGAAACAGTGTCTTTATTAACACTGTAGTTATCTCCTGAATAATACAAGCTATTCATCCAGTGGTATTCCTAGCTCTGACATTGTGAGTTGTAGTATAATATGTCAACAACACAGCCTCAGATGCCAGACTGATGGTTTTCTTTGAGGTTTAAGCATGTAAGTAAAAGCTGCTCTGTACAGGATGGGTTATAGGTCAAGCCTAATCAGCTAGCAGAAATTTTTTGATTCTTCATCAGTTTTCATAGCCAACAGGGGCTAATGCCTGTTATATTTGCCAAAATCTTTTTTTTCCAAATCAGAGCAAAATGCTTTTTTATTATTCAGACCTACTTGCAAGCTATTGTTAAATACGTGATAGAGGATCTTACAAAATTCTGCACTAAAACAACTAGCATGCTATTATGGTAATCTGAGAATAGAAGATATTTTGAAACAGAAGAGCTCTTTTTTTTCCCCTATTATAAGCCTTGCCAAAAAACAACCACTGCATTGAAATATAAGACACTAGTGAATTAGCTCAGCTGGCTCATCTAATACAGTGAAGTTTTGAACAAAGGGAAATATGGCTATAAAAATATCGTGGCTATAGTAGAAGATCAAGTTAGCTCTTTCTTACATGAATTTTATTTCTCTCTGCAGGAAACAAACAAAGCAAATTCATGAACAGCTGAAAGAAACACAGAATAGGAAAACCTACAGCCTAAATGCTTCCAGCATGATGGCAAAGTCGGAGTGTATGGCACAAAGCCAAGTCCAGCTGCAAAATGTAAGTAATGCTGCCAGCTACTGCACTTAATAGCCTGGCTGAGTTCCTGCTGCTGATGGCAGCACATCCTCATGCTGCTATTAGCATCTGAGCAACGGGAACAAGAATTCTCACCTCTTTCATAAAATGCTTTCTATCAGACCTGTTAATGGAAAGCAGGGATTTTTTTTTTTTTAAAGTTGTTTCAATGGATTCTGGTACATTTCGTTCATGTAGTAGTAGACTTTGCTGAGCTTTCCACTGCATCTAACAGTGGAAATTACTAATATAGTTTCCTTCAATACCGTAGCTCATATATGTTGGTTATAGGTGAAGTGGGGTCCTTGATCTTAAGTGATGTCAGGTCTTCCAATAATAAATGAACATGCATGAAAAAATGTAGAGATTTGTCACAGCTAATTCAGAGTCAATTCAAAATCTGGAACTAAATTTACACATATAAACTAGTGCCCAAGGGAAGACCATGCAGATGGTCTCATTTATCTGGGTCTTTAGTTAAAGGCAGTTTAGATAACAGAAATAAATTTGTTTGTTCAAAGTAAATCTGAAATTTATTTAGTCATTTTCTGTATGTAGTTATACGTAAGTTAATACAGTCTCTCAATCCTGAAGTGCATAGAGCATATCTGAAATAAGGAGCTTGAAGATAACTGATTTATTTAGCCCTGGATGCAAGGTATTTTCAAATAAATGTCATCTTCTCCCTTGGTCACACACTAAATTAATACTGTCTTACTTTGAACAAAGTCTTTGAAAGAACTGAGAAGGATCCTGGTAGCAATATAATAGGAAAATATAACAGATGTGTTAAAGCCTTTCTAAATTATTAACTCCTTTTTATTTTTTTTTTTAAGTATCTTAGCATTACTTAAAGGAATGACTACCTTATTTGCCAGATTCCATCAAAATAGTGGGAGTTTAGCAAAAGTGAGCTCTCGTGCCCACTAACTCCTAGTTTACATCCAATTAAGTAAGAGATAAGTATGAGCCCTTTTACAACTTAGCATAAGTAGAACTTCCCTAATGTGACAGAGAAGTTGTCAGAGCATTGCTTGTGTTCACTTTAAGTTCTGTTTTGTAAGAATACCATTGTGGTGCTCCTGTATATACTCATGATATGCTTCGAAATGCAGGAAAAATATGCTATTTCAAGAAGGAAGATAGCTTCACTAAATTGACATAATCACAGTTTGGGGAACCTTTTGCAATTTTTTTTTATTTCACTTTCAGTTCATTCAGTCATATATTATTTCTAACCCCTAAAAAAAAAAAGCTGTTGGGAGTGTTGTTGGGTTGTAATGATGACAACAATAGGTAAAGTTCATGATCCTTTTGTTCTATCATATAAAGTAAACCTTGGTTAATACTAAGAAAGTGTTCTTTGCCTTTTTCTCATTGTAATTCAGTGCTATATTTTGTCAACCCATCATTTCCATGAACTGTTTGATGTCTCCTGAGCAGCTAACAAACACATCAACAACCTTTATTTCAGTTTGTTTTTTTTTTTTTTGCTCTAGCAATAGCCATAATGACTGAAGTAGCAGTTTGTGGATTCTGGACATTAGGGATTGAAAGGCACCATTATATTTATTATTTTAATCCAAATTTGCTTTTCAGGTCTTAGTGCTGTTCAGACTGTCATTTTCAGTGCTGGTAATTAACACACCATTTTCTTGTTCTTGTGGCTGCTTGCCCCTGTTTTCTCCTTGCCATTAATGCATTCTCCCTTTGGGAACAAAGATACCAAGGAAGAAAAACAGAATGACCTTGTGCAGGATATAGCATAACAGTGCAGGGTAATAATGGTTTCTATTGTTAGGAAGATTTTAGTGCAGGAATTCATGCAGGCAGCTCATGAAATATTTACAAAACCTGGCAGCTTGGAGGAGAAAAAAAGGGCAGGGGTATGGTGAGGCAGCAGAAAAAAGAACTTTGGAAAGGTATTTCATAGGAATGGCTGAGTGACTCCCCCTTGGAGACCAGAGATCTGCCCTGGGTGTATCTGCTGGGTGGGAAAGGACCAGGCAACAGCGTGGGGCACAGAGCTCTCCTGTGGCTCTGCTCCCTTCTGTTGGTTGCAGCCTGGGTGTGATCTCTCTGCCATTCCCATCTGTAGCTACCACCACATGAATCTGGGGAGAAATCTTAGTTCTCTTCATTTCTAGGAGCTAATAAATAAATTTAAACAAATTAAGACAATTATTTCCTGGAGATTACTCCCCCAGTCTGGCATTTTGGTTTATGTAATCCTGGAAGCTGTTTCTTTTCCCACGCCACGTGCTCCTCTTACAAGCAAGAGAGTTTTCCCATTTATGTCACCTTTATGTCTTTCCCTAGAAGATTTTCCTGTATTTTTCTCTTGTCTCTTTTGAATAGACCTGGTGATGCTTTCAGGTTTTTCACACTGCTCTTTCTTCCTATACAGAGAAGAATACTTTTGTGTAGACCTGAGAATAGTTGCATAAGGATCCTTATTCTTTATGACTGTTGTGAAGGAGCCATCACCTTTTGACTCAGAGGTTGCTATATTTAGTAAAGGATCCATCTATCTTTCCAAATATTGTGTTGTTCTAGAAAGAGGTTTAACTTATTTCCCAAGACCCGGGGTATAGCAGAGAGTGTTTCAAGTGGTTTGTGGCTGTAAAGAGCTTGACCAGTCTCTTCTTCCCACACTCCAATGCATTGTATCTCCTCCACCCCCTCCCTCTGCTCCGTTGTGATCCTAAGTGAAATAAAGGGTCAGATTTTGTCAGGATAATTGTGTTCTGTCTGAACTCCTGCTGCTCATTGTGTGTGCTCACCTGTAGCAAGTCTGTTTCTCTCCGTAGTGATTTCATTACTTTTGTAGACATACAAATTAGATGAAAAATACTGTGTACTATAATCAGGGTTCATAAATAACTGTTTGAACGCAGCTCTTAGGACTTCCTGAATCTCCTTCAAGTCCACTGCTTTTCCCAAATATTCTGGCAGCAACACACTTAATTTCTTGCTAGGTTGTTCTTGTTAGGCTTTATAGCCTCTTGGATTTAGAGACTAATGCACTGGTAATCTTGCCATAATTCTTCAGCCAGGAAGAGATAGATGTGCCAGTTTTTAATTCAGGATCTTTGAGGTACACAGGAGATTCAGATTTATTTCACCTAGTGCATGAAAACTAGGTCTTCCAAGTATTATGTACCCCTTCCCAAAGAGATTATACTCTATCCAAGAGAGATTTAAAGACTCTGCTCCAGGGGTCTGCAGCAGTTTGATCTCCTCATAAGCAAAAAGAAGGAAATTGTCATTCTCAGCTTCCCCCCTCCCCCTTACAAAGACAAGTCCTTGGTGCACCCTCACACACCATGCAGGGGCAGGAGGAGGTGATATGGCTCCTGATTACTACCTCCTTTTTCCACCTTGACTAGAGAGTTTCTTTAAATTCTCACAACTTGACAAATATGTCATGGGGGTAAGAAAAAAAGGGGGGGTGAAACTATACCATTACTTTAGTGTTTCTGAGAATTGTCACAGCTGTTTAAAGTGACTTTTTTCACCTTTGTGGTTTTTAATACCTTCTCTTGTGGTACCAAGTGGATCTATTAATCCCCCATCACTTTCATTCTGAGGTGGCTAATATGCTTTTCATACTGTAGTGTGTGGTTTCACTTTTCACTGCATTTGTTTTTAATAGCATGCAGTCACTAGCTCCAGGTTTTTGATATTCTTATGAGAGGCTAAAATATGCTCTTTATATGTCTTGTTGCTTTTTGGTGATAGTAGTAGGAAATAAGTTATTTTTGGTCACTGCGATAGACGTGCAATTATTGTATTGCACCATTCTGTTGCAATTCTATTGAGCAACAGATACACTTAAATCTTTTAAAGGATTAGTCTGTTGTTTTACCTGAATTATGATTTGATTTATCAGCCAAGATCAAGAGTAAATTTCCCATTTCTGTATCTCATGGCTACTTAGAAAACACTACCAGAATAGACAAACCTGAGTTTATTGTCCTCTGTCTAGAGGTAGTGTTGGCAACAAAACATACAGAGCATATGGGAACAGCTGTAAGGATGTTAAATGTACCACCTGATGGGCTTTTGTGCAAGATCAGCCCATCCAGGAATATCACTGGCTCTTTTTCTCCTTGAGGTGACCTCTCTGAATGTAATTTAAAGCTGACCCTTCTGCCTTATCAGTTGTTTTTGAAATGGGATCCCCACATCACCTCTCTTGCAATACCACATGACTTTCTGGACCTTTTATTCTTACTCTTTTGGGAAAATCATTGAGGGGGAAGAGCTAAGTAAAGCCAGAGGGAGGGATGGGTGTTTTCATTTGCATAACATTAGGACAACAGTGTCAAGCTGTTCTATAGCATTTGAGTGGCATTTGTTATCCAAGAATCCTATATTTTAGAAGGAGGAATACAAAGCATGGAGCAGAGGAATTATGTACTCACAGTATACAGTAGGTCAATGGCAGAGGCTTCTTTCCTGGCTCAGGCTGCCTTCGCAGATTCACTTAGCATTAAGTAGCAGGGGGTGGAATTTTATTGTGAAAATAATCAGTAATTGTACATAATAGATGATTTTCTCCGTGAAACCATGAAAAATTGAAAATTTGCAAAATACTTTTTTTTAGAGCTATCATTATTCTTTAATTTATTTAGCCATATGCACCAGTGTTTTTCAGTAATTGCTCAAACAAGCACAGATAATTAACCAAGAAGACAATAAAACCATTAAAAACCCCAAATAATACAGATAAGCTTTCAGTGATGCTGGAAACAGCCCTTTGAAAGTGTTTCGCAGCTTATTCTCCATCATGGCTGATTATCAGGAGCTCAGAACAGTCAGGTCTCCACAGAGCTCAGCCCAGGTGAGAACTGAGCTGTGGAAGCAGCAGGATGAGCTCTGCTGGGATATGTCTGGGGAATAATCCTATCCTATACTTTTGGGGGCACTAACTGATACTGTTGTAAACTCTTCACAAAAATATGAAGGTATTTTTCTCCAGAAGGGATGTGGCACTTAAAACTAAGCTTAAGAGGGATTAACCCAACTGTGTTTAAACCTATTAAAATGTACAAATAATGTGGTACATCCAAATATGTTCAATTACGTTGTTCAAATTCTCTGTATATTCACACCCTCAAACTGTGATTCATATTTTCATTGTAATGAATGTTATGGCTGTTACAGTAACTGTGTAATAACTGGTGTATCTGAAAATGGCATAAATGTTTGGTTAGGGGCAAAAAATACCTTGAAAAAAATGTGCCAGGGTGGTTCTTGGTGTTGGACCTTCAGTACAATTTGCTGATCATCATCAGAGCAGCTTCTGGGGTCCTGGTTTTCCTCAGTTGTGATGAGGAAAAACTCTGTGTACCACTGCTTCAGCCCACATCCACCTTAAATGTGGATGTAGTGAAAGGCACAGCTTATCTCTAATTGCTCTTCATAATTCACTTCATCCTCATGGTCTTATAAGGCATTCAGACCTTCAATTTTTTTTCGTGAACAAACTGAAAACAGGACAGAAGTAGCTTCTTGGTACTAGCAACTCATTCTTAACATAGCTCAAATTGATTTATTCAGGTCACAAATCAAAGCCAGTTTCATTTCTGCAGCTGGCAGGATAACTATTAAAGTTTAAAGCCTTCACAGACCTTAAAAGTCATACTTCTGTCTGAATATTTTATCTACAACATTTACAAGTGACAACTAAGATCATGGTAACTGAAAGAAATGGGAGTGTAATATGCTACTTCTTATTACTTCAGTTGTGTTTGCTTTCTGGGTGTGGCAACATTTTGCACATTGCTGCTCTCATAGCTTTGCCTTCATGTATGTAAGCAGTGATTTTGGCCCCGTTTATGTGGATATTTCAACAGAAAGATGGAGAAGACCATTGGAGAAAAGTGTGAAGGTCTGTGACTTTATCCATAGAAATCGGTCATAAGAAGCCTGAGTAGATGGACTAAACATACATGTAACCCATTTTTAAAGGAGAATAATCTTCTGTGACTTTCCTTTTTTATCTTGCTGAAGTCTACAAAAAGTGGGAATCAGATAATTCTGTATTTTTAAAGAGTTATTTGTCTTTTGTTAGACAAAATAATTATGAAAGAATTCTTACTACCTTCTCCATGAATTTTTGGGCTATTGTATATGCCATAATATGGCATTTTTTACCACTGCAATTTTTTCTATTATTTTGACTACTTTAATTTGTGTTTCTTTATAAAATATGTAATCATGTAATAGCTTCCTCAATACCAATTTATTGTGAGGATAACATGGATATCTAGATATCTGAAAATACAATCTCAGTACAGAAAGGAAAGCAGAGCAATTAGTTTTATTGCAGGTCTTTGTAATGCAGTGTAAAAAATCTGCAGAGTGATGTATTTTTAATGCCTAAATGGAAATGTGGGTTAACCTCTCATATTTCTGAGATATTGCCCAGTAACCACTAAGAACATGAATTCTTACAAGCCCAAGTGCAACTTTTTCTATACTTTTACTTTCTGGTTCCATTTAGGATCAGAGACTCTTCTTCTTCTTCTTCTTTTTTTTTTTTTTTTTTTTTAAATGAAATTTCAGTTGAATCACAAAGCAAGAAGAAAAACATTCTGTTCTTGTTCATGTCTGGTGTCTGCTTTGCAGACCTTTGTGTCTCAATATGTGCCCAGAGACTGCCCTACACCTACACCTGTCACAGGAAGAATTATGTTTACACTGTTCTTACTAGCACGAATACTCCCAGGTCAAAAGCTTCAGACCTGTTCAGAAGAGATATTTGGCTCTGCAGATAGGATTCAAATATTTTTCATGCTTATCTGATGACACAAATGCTGTTTCAGTTTGGTTTTCATCATTGTACATGCTGATGAATGCAGTGTTTGACTGAAATCACCAAAGGACCCAAGAAGTTGCTGACTGTCCTCCAAGATGTGTTTTGTGATCTTAGTCTCTGCATGGAGAAGTACAGAAACAGGCATTTAGTCAAAGGGATCAGTGTTCCTTATCATTATGGGCAGATCAGTCCGTAATTTTGCTGCAAATGCAGATATCAGCATTTTGATGTGGAGAACGTAATGGGGATAATGAGTACTGGTATTTTCCGCTGTGTAAACCGTATTAAATGAATGTATTACTTTCAATCCCTAATTTTGATTTAAAATTGCATTAGAGCACTTCTTACCCCATTCTAATATGAATTCAGATGGAATAGCATCAAAAGTGTACTTTGTCTTTTGAGTATTAATTAAATTTATTCTCTCTGCTACAGTATTCAAAACCAGACAGGCATCCGGGGCCTATTCTGCACAAGGTTATGGAGTCTAGTTTTTCAGGCCCTCAGTCTTTCCCAGAGGCCTTGTCTCCTGACAGAGGAACTCAGCCCATCAAGCAACACAGGTGAGCAAATGGCTGTCTGGTGAGAGATTTGCTGGCTGCCGAGGGATGTCACTGAGCTGGTGATACGTGTGCGGGATTGTTGTGCGCTGGAACTGGGTGACGTGCTGACTGGTATGGTACCAGCAGAGCCTCAGCCCACTTATTAAGCAGATGTCCAAGCATTTTCATAGCTGCAGACATAAAAGGTAATAGCAATGCTTACTAACTTCATCTGTGTTTTGTGAAAGTCCTGGAGGAAGCATTTAAAGACACCACTGGAGCTGCAGACACAGACCAGCAAATGAAACAGCTGTAGTATGAGAAACCATTAAAAACAAGACTTTCCTTATCAATGTTTGTGAAGTTAATGGCTCATTTGCTGCAGAAAGACTTGGTTCTAAACATCCAGCCTTTTTTACTATTTTTTTTAAACAAATGATACTTGAAATGAATAATGGCTTATTTATGAAAACATGGTGGCCTTTGAAAACTAGGCTTAAAAAAGTTTGGATGATTGTTTCTAAGAGGAAGAAAAAGAGGAATGTTACCTACCCATAGCATTCAGATTAGAATTATCCTTATAGCCTTTTTGGATGAGGAGGAGTGCAGGTGCTTCACTGCAGGACTAGAAACCAAACTGGTGTCTGGTATAAGCCATAATGTTGGTCAGATGGCAATGGTAACATCTGGTCCGGTGCACACAGAGAGAGAAAAAAGGCTGCAAAAAAATGAGTCTGGAATTTTTTCAGCTAGATAATCTGGAGGGAAAGACTTGTTTATTAAAAGAATAATTTTTTTAAATTATTTCAAAAAAAAAAGTCTCAGATTGCATGAGGTTATGATCTGACTAGTATATGCTGCATTTTTCATTGCAGTGTCCCAGCCAGCTACATGTTCTTTTTCATTTGAATGAATAATTTGCCTAACCTACAAAGTGCAGTATGTGAGCCAGAAAGGGATATTTAGGGCCTGTCTGCTTTTACCTTACTTAAGCCTTTAATTTGGCATGAAAAAATAATGCCAACTGTCATGTCGGATCCATTTCTTAGGTCTTATTCCTTATTACACAGAGATTTTCAAAATATGCTTAATAATTTTATTTAACATAGATATGAACTATGGGACTGTGGCCTAGAATGCTTTCCACAGAAGTTCTGAGTAGAATTTTATTACCGTTTAGTCACAAGGTGAAGCTCAGAAAAAACACAATGACGTTCCCTTACCTTTAATAGTATGATGGCAGTATCCAAGTTTGATATGTCTTTACTTCAGAACTAATTTAGGTGGAATGACTAGTTAATTTATAAAAAAAAATTTCCAGTTTTATAATTTAAGATTTATTATACAAGGCCCTTGCTTTATGAAACATGCAACAGACTTGAACATCTAAGACTTATGAGATTGTCTTTAATTTATACACCATGTGACAGCTTCCTGTTTTAGTTTCTAAATCGTGTTCAGTATGGACAAATGGTCAGTGTGGCCAAATGAGGAAACTTTTTTACAGAATTATGTTTTATCCTAAATATCCCTTCATTCCATTCCAAACGTGACATGAGCTTGGAAAAATTATAACAGCTCTGCAGGTTCTCTGTTTTATACTGTCATTAAATTACATTGTTGTTTTATTTCTGCTTGCTAAGAAAATATTTTGTTCTGCATCCAGACCTCTTTTCTCTGCTGGTGTTTTCAAGGACACAAATGGTGGGTTATCATTTCTTAAAATCAGGAGCTGGCTGTTTCCAGTTCCTAAAACTAATACAATTTTTACCTGACAGTAAGACTATCAACTTAGGGAATCACTTGGAGTTGCTGAAATGTGACTGACAGAAATAATTTTTCATTCAGATTAGTAGATAACAGCAATTTTCTATTTCTACCAACCTCAGCTGCATGCAAAGAATTAATGCAGAGGTTAAATTGAAAACTGAAATTTAATCTCCAAAAATATTTTCCCTGTATTATTATTAACATCCTAAAATATTTTGCCTGTATTATGCACTGATAGAACAGTAGAAGAACGTTACATCATCTGCTTGCATATGTAAAATAACTCTTCATACTGTCAGAATTCAAAATTAACAAGTGTGTTTAATCAGTAAACTTCCTGTAAAGTGTACAGTTTGCTCAGAAATTCATCTTAGATTATCTGTTGATTTAGGTAAGAAGAAAACCCATACTGTCTTATTATCTAACAGACAGAAACAAATTAGAGTTTTGTCAATTATAGAATTGAGTTGGGATCCCTCTGAATAGCAGTTTTCTTGGTAATTAGTCATCCTGACTTTCATTCATTGATTCAGTCATCATTGATTTTAGAGGGATTCATTTCGGAGAATAACATGATGAAAGCCAAATGCAGATGCTTTCAGCCTGGAGCAGTTATATTGTCTTACAAAAATACCAAAATAGGATAAACTTACTCTAAAATTAAAAATAATTTGTGTTTTCATTTTTAATGAACTTTTAACACCACAAAAACCATGCTAAAAAGAATTTTTTTCATTTGGTAAGGATTTTAACTATATGCTTCCAATATAATTGATTCAGTTTAAATTAAAAAAAAAAAAAAGAGTAAATTTAACTTATTCTGTAAATAAGGCTATTGAATTTCAAAGAAGTAGTAATGATAAACTAAAGCAACTAAGAATGAAAAGGCAGAGGAAGCCTGAAAAGAAGAAAGCATAAGGAATATGGTATTTTCCCAAAGAAAAAACATAGTTTTCTGCAGAAATTTACTAAAAGTAGTGTCTAAAAGGAATAGGGTGTATGGAAAGAAACAAACCATATCACAGAGGGCAAGAAGTCATGCTTGAAGTGAACATTTCCAGGACTCATTGAGAGTTAAGAATTAGTGGTAATACTGAAGCAATCAATTGTTCCTACTGTGAAGAAAAAAAAAAAACAACAGCACTATACAGGAAAAAGGAAAGCTGATGGTGGGACAAAAATAATATATGAAGCTGTTAGGGCAATCCTGAATTAATATATTTCTTTTTTTTTTTAAGTTAGAATGGTTATTTGAGGACAGAGGCAGAATGGGAATAGAATCAAATGTATGAAAATAGACATTACTGCAGTCAAAGTGGAAGTAAAATGTGGAAATCAAAGCTTTCAAGTCAAGTTGGTTTGGTTAATCCTGATCAAAGAAATCTGGAAGGAGAACCAGCTCATGAAATTTCAAGTCTAGTAGTAGCAAAATCTGTAAAAATGGGAGCTGTAGCATAGGATGATGGAATAGCAAGTGTCAAATATTTAGGAATATGGAAAATTTATTGAAGTAACTGAGGGCCAATTATGTTGAATTAGACTAGTCAAGGCTTTAGGACAAATGTGGGGGAAGCAGATTCTTGGAGGAGATATAAAAAAGGCCGAAAAATAGTTACTAGTTTACCAGCAGGAGCTCCTGCAACACATCACTGATGACTTTCTTTGTATTTGGTGTAGGTGAGCTCGATCTCTACACAGCCTCAGTCACTCTTGTCACATGTGTCTAATGCCTTTAATGGGAGAAAGCAGGGAGACACAGAAAAACTATAATGTGGATACACAGAGGTGGTTAAGAGGGAGATAGTGAGGAGTTATGTTGAAAAGGAACTCAAGGAACTAGTTAATGGGGGCAAAATTTGTTTAATGTTTTTGTGCATGACTTTGGCACAAAAAGAATTGGAACATCCTGAAAAAATTAGTTAAGAATCACAGACTCAGTACAGATAAAAGATTTAGATATAAGGAGTGAATGGCATAACTTTAAGGATACCTAACAGGGGTGGATTGAAGTTCAGCTGTACTAAATACAAGGTCAGGCATTTGGGAACTGGTAATAAAATTTAAGAAACAAATGAGGTAGAAAGGTTTCAGTATATACTACTTGGTTAAAGGATAGCTAAGTCACGAAGTGATGCAACTGTGCAAAAGGTATATGGGATGAGAGGAAGTATTAATTACAGCATTTCCATCAGAAAGTCAGAAAGATTAATACCACTTCATGAGTTACTGTTGTCACTTCATTTGTATATAGCATGAGAATGTACCACTATTATCTCACCTGGTTAAAATGGCCTCCTGATTATTATGGACTCAAATTGCATTCATGAGCTAATATGAGGAGTCAGTGATCCATGTTCTATGGAAAGTGTTAGACTGACACTGTCTTGTGTCAGTATTCAGTTCAGGAGACTGGCAAGAGTGTATGACTGCTGCTTATAAATACATCTCAAAAAGGATAATAAGGAGTTGAAGACCTATTCAAAGTGAAGGAGTATGATGGCACATATGAGAGTTGTATATTCGTCAGAAATAACTGTAAACTAAAAAGAAGTTTTAAAGTTTTCATTATAGAACAACTTTCTGTGGTGGTATCCAGCATATCATTATAGTTTTAGGATGGAGGTTGATCAATGCACTACAGGGAGTATATGATGAAGTTATGGCAGATGATTAAACTCAGTGCCACTGAGGTACCTTGAATGCTCTGTTTCCTTTTCCTGTTGTATCTCTCACAAGGGTGGTGACCAGATGATATAGGTAGCTTTGAAGAATTTATGTAGAGTTCCAAAGTCCAGAATCAGCCCCTACACATGCTGTTCCTGAATACGAGAATATGTAATGGAATCAACAATGCTTACATTTCAGAAACGAAGAGTAGATTTGTAGATATAGGCTGGCTGCTGGAAAGCACCTCTTTTTAAGGTTTTTCATGTTCTGTTGCCAAATTTACATCTTAATGTGTTCATAATGTGATGTAAAATCAATTGTGTTTAGTAATTAACTAAAAAGTAGTACAAGAAGATTCACAGAGTTACTGTAAAAACACTGCTGGTCTTCTCTTCATGAACACAGTTAACTGCACTCAGGAGTTGTGTATGTGCCTCGACAGGAGAATACTCCACCTGCAGGAACAGACTTTGTTCCCACTCGGTTGCTCAACCTAAAAGAAAATTTTCACTGAAAGCAACTTGCAACAATGAATTCCAAGTTCTTAATTAAGTGCATTTTTCAAACCATTAATTCATCAGAATTATATTTCGCCTTGGTTTATGCATCACTTGTGAACCAGTTCATGCATATTCTGATTTTTTTATTCTGGAGTAATTGATTAATAGATTTTAAGGACATATCTGCTACAGCTTTATGTATTGGTCTAAATTATTGAATGGCTCAGTTATGTGGGCTGATTTCTTTTACCCAATTAGAGTGGAGTGCAGGGAGGAAGAAACCATAATGATGCCTAAAGGACAATAAAGTCCATGAAGAAATCCGAAAGGCGTTGTTTGCCTGAGAGGGAGGAAATCTTCGTGTGAGCAATAGATCAGAAGTCTGAGAGGGACTGTATTAACACTTTTAGAGGAAGATGTTGCTGATGTTCAGATCAGTTTTGTGAGAAAGGAAGAGCTTTGTTATGCTGGAGTTACCTTTTCATGGAACTTTTAACAGAAATTTTTACTGTCTTTGGTGCTTGAAGAAATGAGTTATCCTGCAGCTTACAGCTGCACTGTCTGTAAGTATTTCCTGGTCCTTAGTGAATTCGTCTTGTCCATGACAAATGATTTTCATTCATTTTTCTCCTCTTTTTTTCTTTTTTTCTGTCAGAAATGTTGAAAGCATAAGAACCTCCCATTGGTAACAAATTGGTTGCTTCAACACTGTCACTGCTGGAAGCGCTGTGGTTGCAGGACAGTGTTGGCATGTGCCAGATCCCATCGATCTGACCAGCACACACATCTTTAACAGCCTGTGGCATCTAGTGCTCCATGGAGCAGTGAGACTTTCAGTGCAAACTGAAGTCCAAATAAGTCATTTATCTGCATCTTTGCTGCAGTTTATAGCTTTTACCTCAGGTATACCTGTATGTGTTGAAATTACATCTATTACAAGTGAGGAGCTTTTGTGAATTTGCATGTGCATATTATTACATAGGAGACTGTGTGCTCTCATCTAGCAAGGAGGATGCACAAGGGCATCAAATCAACCACAATTAAAAATTTAAAATTTCTAGTTTCAAATATTTGTAATCAGTGTAAAGTCTGATAACTTAATCAGTTTTTTTACTTTTGTAGAACACTGATGAATGTGCTTTAGTAAGTAAACAACCCTGACTTTCCTTATCCATTACAAATTATTCATTCAGCTGCATCTTTTGAGATCCTCTGCTGTAATAATCTGAGACTCTCCTGAGCAGAATTGGTCAATTATTTTGTGTTGTGGTGGTGTTACTTTACACAATATGAACGGTAACTCACAACTTGAACTCAGCCTTCAGAACTGAAAGGCCAGTATTTCATTTTTTCAAAAAAGTTTTTTCACAGCCTCCTTAGTAGCAATAGAAAAAAATATTTAAGGAAGCATCAAAAACCCTGGAGGGAATGCTATTGCTGGGGGTTATTGATCTTTTCAGTTAAAAAGCAATAGAAAAATAAAGGTGTGGAAGAAAACAGAGCCAAGACTCTGATGGAACACTGCTAGCTTGAGCAGTAGGATAAGAGACCATTGAATTTATTTCTTATTTTAACTTTGGACAGAAAAGGTTGGTTTTAATTTGTCCAAGATCCCACTAGTTAAAAAATGCAAATTATTTTTAAGTCATAGTATAATAGGAAAAAAAGAAGCAAACTTATCAAAAGTCTTTTGCATTGCTGAATTTTATCAAAAGTTTGAATTATTCACATAGCCAAAAATAGTGACTTGTAAAAGGCATCTACAAAACCTATCTTAAGTTATCATTAAAGATACAACAGAATATTAGGTAACACAGGCATTTCTGAGACCCAGAAGATGCCAAGAGAAGTAGGAGTAGCTGGAAAATGAATAGTCAGTCACACCATGCAGTCCTGTGACCTGTTAACATTAAGAATAGGTTATACCTTGTCTTAATTCTGTGTTCCCATATTTTTGATTTAGTAAAAGCTAAATTTATGGTTTGCATACCAAAACTGTGGATTCTTGATACCTTTTAATTCCTGCATGAGAGGAAAAAAATTCCATTCTCCTTCCAAAACAGTAGAAAAATGTTTACAAAAGCAGTTTTCTAAAATAAGTATGAAACTACTACTTGTTTTTATGAAATTCAAGTTTATATTAAATCACATAAAGTAACAACAGAACATTGTTCCATGTATGCCACCAGGAAAGCAATTTGTATATGAAACAAGAATAAAACAATATAGAAATCTTGTTCAAAGTGGAGGAAACTTGTCTTAGATGGCTTCTTCAAGCTGCAGTTCATAAGCTTCACTTATATTGTTCACTTATACTTTTTTTCTCAATTTAATGTTATTATATCAGGAAGCAGCACATTGTAGGCTGTAATGGGCTCTCAGTTTCAGATCTGATTTTGAATTCAGCTGTGGGTATGATGGAGCTGTGCTGTTTGTTTATACTGTCTGAGAAGTCAACTCTATGTAGTGGGATTATGATATACAGCATGGAAAAAAGAAGCATCCTTCATCAAGTGCAAGAAAACATTTAATACACTGGGCAATTATTTTCATTCTGAGAAGAGAGGTGATGTATTAAATACAGCATAAACAACAGCTAATGGTGGATTATAGTATTATATTTCCATAGAGAATTTCTACTGACATCATAGACCACCACAGCAAAGTTTATGAGAACAGTAATCCATGTGTTATTAATCCTGAACCTTTACTTTGCAGAATTTTATGCTGTTGTTGTGATAATTTTTACTGTCCTCTTGGTGTTGTTCCTAGAAGTCTCTCTTCATGCTGCAGCCCAGGACAGAAAAGTGGGATGCTACATAGAAATGCCTTTCGGAGGACTCCTCCCTTGCCTCGGGGTAGGTTCAATGGAATTACAGGACCAGCATATCAACAGCTAGAAGAGTCAAGGATCACAGACCAGGACACAATACCTTGTCACGGGTAAGTAACAGTATAACTGAGCTGAGCCTGTTTGTGAGTGGCTGCTGTTGAGAGGTTAATATGCTTTGCCATGTTCCAACTTTGTTGTAGTATACTGTGGATCCAGGTTTTATACTGCTGAAAGCAGAAGAATGTTTTCTGCATACTGGCTCTTTGAAGGTAATGTGTTTTTATTTGGCTGGCTGCTTTTTTTAAGCATTTCAAAGGCTGTAGAGAGAGGTATCAGAACAAAGTGTAAGTGATTGGCAACATTACTCCTTATAACTGTTTTTTCTAGCAGTGCCGTGATGTTCTAGTAATTTATGGATAGCATTTTTTTCTTCCATTAATCAGCACCAGGCAAATAAGAGAATTAAGAAGTTCAACTTCAACTTTCTTGGTTTTTTTTAATAAATCAATGTACATTGTGAAGTTTGTTTTCTATAGACTGAAGACCAATCACTTCACGCAGGTTTGTCTTTGAAAAAAACTTCCACTATTTTTTTTTCTTTTTTTAATTCAGTTTGTTAGAACATTGACTGTGAACTCCAGCTGTACATAAAGTCTGAATTTCAGAAGTGCTCCTGAGCACCTACAGTTGCCTTTGAAGTCTTTTACAATTGCTGAGATATTTTGCATAATATTTACATATCCCTATAGATTTCCAAAGACTTTCCAGGATCATTACAAGCATATCATATATATAAAAGTAGGAGTGATATCTGGAATGGAATGAAAAACCCACCAGTTTCATCTGTACACCTGTAAGTCACAGTGAAGAGTTACACTATGAGAAGGGAGCTGCAGGGTTTTGTGTCATGAAGCGCAGAACTGAGGTCACCCACGTGTTATATTTTCCTTAAGGACGAAAGTAGCTGTTATCACTGACCACTCTGATCTCCTGGGAAATGACAGCCACAGCATTGTTACATGTGTGTATGTGGTTGTCATCACATGTGTAGGCACCTATCCTCCAGTGCTGCCCTTGGCTCACTGTTTTGTGGCTGAATCTACCTAAGAAAGCTAGCCACAGTAATTAGGAAAGACAGACCAAGAGCAGGGCTTACCTGGGAAGGGGGAAAGCAAAGCAGCAAAAGGTTTGTGTATCTGGTGCCTTCTTTTAAATAAGTTTGACTCACACTTCTGTCATTGTTACTAATTACTTCTTTTGAGAAAAAAATTGTTTATTACCTCTTGCAGTAAATGTATTATTGTTCATTTGTATGATAATGTGCATATAATTCCTTGTGAAAATTGTTACTGAAGTTGCAACCCTTCCTGAAAGGAACAGGCTGACAGCCTTCCCTCTCCAGCAGACATGTCTTGTAACATGGGCTCTGGGGAGTGCTGTAGTTTCCTCCTGGAGAGAGGTGAGGTACAAAACAGCAAAGCTGTGGGTAGTTGTATTTTACTCTTTTCTAGGAAACCAGTGTGTGATATTACAAGTATCATCTCGTACTGGTCTGTATTTTAAATTTTCAGTCCTGCCAAAGTTTGATATTGGGACGAACCTGTGATCTTCTGACCTCAGTCTGCTCAGCACTTCATGCCTATTTTGTGCACTAAGGATGTTTAGCATCTAAATATCTGCTGGTTTCAGTGTTGGTATTCTCATTGGATTTTCAGCCCAAATAAAAAGTTCCCTTGTCCTTTGCAGAAGTTACACTGCTTCCTTTCTTCTCCTTTAAACCTCCATCTTTCCTTATAGGAATGCACAAATCAAAGTGGTTTATCTCCCTAATTCTCTGAGCATTCTAAACTTTGTCCATCAGCAGTTCTGGCTGAAGTTTATTTGAATGTTTATACTTGATAGGAAAGAGGATAATTTAGCTGATAGTGTTTGTTCCTCCTGCAAAAGTGCTTCTCTTCACATCCCACATTGAGAGGAAAGCTTTTACTGCCTTCAAAAAGCACCAAATCGTGATATTTGCAACACGATCCAATATTGTTTGAGTCAAATACAGGTAATATCAGTTATTTATTCAGTGTATTACTTGAAAGAGTAGAAAAACCTGCTTGAAATGAGTGGCTTAAAGAAGTCACCTCCGTGTCAGTCACGTCTCAGGCAGGTTCCAGTCCCTGAGGGTGTTGTGAGTTCACATGCAGTAAAGTGGACAGTGGTTTGATCCCCAGTGGTCAGGGATCCGGCAGGAAGGGTCAGCAGCAGCACCTTACAGCCTGTGAGGCTGTACATTTATAGACAGAAATGTGTTCCTGTATACAAGACCCAGTGTGTCATGTCTACAGGTAGAAAATGGGGTGTGTGAATATAAGTATATATAAGTGCTTACAAGGCTGAACCAAAGCTTGGCAGTGCCACTGGAATGATTCCCATTCATCTTAATGGACCTTGTCATCAGGCTCATATGCTGCACACCTTTAGCCACAGGGCTCAGAGCAAAGCTGTTGGGTCTAAAATAAATGCTAAATAGCATCCATTTTGTATTTTAAGTTCCAGACCCTTCTCTCTCTCTGTAATATCTATTTTTAAAGGGGCAGTAAAATTATTATGCTTCTTTCAGTTTCATTCTTTAATTTAGACTCAAACACTGTATAATTAATTACTGTTGAATATTTGTAAATGTTTGCTTTTCTTTTGTTGCTTGGGATTAGGAGGAGGGTGGAGAGAGAGCTGCACTTTGAAACACATGCAGATGAATTAATTTATTCAGACAAAATAATTTTTCAGATAAAAAACCAGATATATTTCTTTGGAGGAACTATGGTTCTGGGAAAGTTAATGATAGGAAAATGTAATTAAGGTTCTGCAATTATAGTTCTGAGTCTCAGTCTATTGAAAACAGCAGCAGTCTGGTGTCACACATAGAAGCATGGATCAGTTTGTAATTAACCAAAAGCCGAGTCTCACATGGTTTAGATGTAATACCCCTTCTAGTTTAATACTTCACCTGTTGCATACAGTGTATGCACTTTAATTCAGCCTCAGTCCCTCTTTGCAAGCCCTGTGAGTACAAGGCAGAAACATGTAATTCTGGCATAAAGTTGGTATGTTTAGCTGTATTTCAAAAAATATTGTGGAAATATGCCAGGCATTGTGTTACATGTTACTGCTGCTGCCAGTTAGTTTTCAAAATAAAAGGAATAATTGAATCTCTGTTATAGAACTGGCAAATGTTACTGTTTTCTCACCAAATCCATTTTAATTCAGTCTTTTCTTGGTTTTGCTTATATATCATCCATATAAAACATCCATTGCATGTGAAATTCATTTAAAACATTCACTCCCTTTGTTTTCAGGGTGCAGCCCAGAATATATTTAGGGCCTGAATTACCAAAAAAGGGACTAATGCAACTGATGCGATCTCTCCAGCTATAGTCGTTTGAACAATTATATATAAGCAAAGGAAACAAGAATGGGCACAACCCAAAGGTCTGCACTGTTTTGTTTTCATTTATTTTTTTTTTTAATTTTCCTCCCTCAGGAATAATATCCCCGATCAGTATTTCATTCATGAGTCTTGAGAAGTGTTCTAAAAAGCTCCTCCATGAATGGCTGCAGGTGCAAATGTAATTAAGCAAAGCTGGCTCAGATATAATATGTAGCTGCATCTGTATAGTGTGGACAGGAAATTCTAGCACATATCCAAAAAGGCTGTTTGCTTTATTATTCCCTGGAGTCCCACTTCCCAAAGCACTATCTCTTTCCATCACAAAGTTCACAACACCTCCTCCTTATCACAGAGCTCCCAGATGCATGTTCTGCTCTTTTGGGGATGCCTGGAGACCTCTGTACAGACCTTTATGTGTGCATGTGTACAGGTTAACGTGTTAAGCACTTGTACAAACACAGTGCCACCATAGACGAGTTAATTACAGGTCAGTGGCACTCTGCTGGAAATGAGCCTGAAGGTATCTCCTGCTGTCCCCTGTCTGACACCTCACAGGGAGGATGGGCCAAAGGAAGCCTTTCCATTTAATTCCCATTGTGTGCTAATGCTGCACTATGGCTGTTTCACAGGATTCGGTTTCTTTTCATCAGCTCTGTTTCTGCTCGTACCAAAAAGCAGCGAGGTACATATGAGTAGAAGGATATTCCTAGTGAGGTCCAGCAGGATTTTCAGAATAATACCCTTGGAGTCAGATCTGCCTCCACACCAGATCTAAATGTTGCTGTCCTAATCCATGGATAAAACATGTTAGATTCACCATTAGCTTGCCTTATTAAACAGTGATAAGCTGATTATAAATAAAGTATATTCTGGTACTGAGGTAATGTCTGTGGTCCTTAGTAATCATGACTAGTAGATGTAGTAACTCTTAGAGCACCAAATTTATAGTAATAGTACTTTCAGATGGGAAACATCTTTTTTTTTTTTTCATTGTTTCCTTTATTTTATATTTAATATACTTTCCATTTATTTTTTTTAACTATTTTTTGTAAACAAAACATTTCCCTATCAGAATAATGAATTTGGCTTTGAAACAAAATGGAAATGCTGATAAATTTCACCAAGTTGCCTCACAATAAATAAAATCATGCTGTGAGATGTATTAGTGCAAGATAAAGGATTGGGGTTTTTTTAAACGGTATTACAATATCAAGAGAACACAGACATTTGCTCAAGCCTAATATATATTAGCTCTATTTCCAGATGAAATCTAGTAAAACAAACGAGGCCAACATTATGAGTAAAGGCTATTGAAAAATAGACATTTTTCAGAGGTACACTGCACTTAGATGCTCTGCTTGTTTGAAGGGGAATACAATCATTTCTATGTAAACAAAGACTACACAGCCATGTGTGTTTAAAGTTCTTTTTATCTGCATCTTTTTTAAGTGTTTTCCTAAAATAACCATTTGACATTGAAAGTTCTGACACTGAAGAAAGTATCAATCCATTTCTGGATTCAGAAATGTAGGAATGGAACGTCAAATGTCATTTCAAAGCAAATTAATAATACATTATAACTTCTGAAATCTTTTAAAAAGGAATTTTCATTACTCTCATGTACTGGTGGGCAAAATGAGACTGAGGGAAAAGCAGTGGTTTGCCACTGGCAGATCTGAGAATCAAAAGCGGTCTCCAGAGCCTATTGTTTTCCCCAGGGCCCCACCACTGCCAAGTGCTCCTAGTGGGAGGGAAAAATCATGTGTATCCTTTCAGCACAGTTCACTAAACCTCAGTGTCCCTGCTACCAGTTGCATCTGACCGCTTGATGTAAAACAAAAACCTTTTTTTACTCTTTCCAGGTATTCATCCAGTGGTTTAAAAACTCCTCAGAATACTTCAATAAATATGCAACTGCCTTCAAGAGAGTCAACCCCATATTTTAATAACGTGGATCAGAAGGACTTGGTCGGCTATTCATCTTCAAGGGCCAACTCCGTTCCCATCATCCCGTCTGTGGGCTTGGACGAAGCCTGCATGCAAATGCAAAATGTTTCTGAAATAACAGGCATCAAATGGTGCAAAAACTCCTATTCCGCTGAACTTGTCAATGTGAGTTCCCCTGTCAGTAATTGTCTTATAGCAGAACAACACGAAGTGAAAATATTGCTAGAAACTGTGCAGGAGCAGATCCGGATTCTGACGGACGCGAGGCGGTCGGAGGACTATGAACTGGCGAGCGTAGACGCAGAGAGCAGCGCGAGTGAAAACACGGCCTTTCTGCCCATGAGCCCCTTGACCAAGTCGGAGCGAGAGGCGCAATTTGTCTTAAAAAACGAAACGCAAAGAGACTCAGTATTGACCAAGTGACTTTGTGTGGGGGTTGTGGGAGGGGAAATGAGAGATCTGTGCATTCGATGCTTTGCTAAACAGGAAGGGAGGAAGTTAAATACAAATTATTTATATGCATTAATTTAAGAGCATCTACTTAGAAGAAACCAAATAGTCAATCGCCCTCATATCATAGTGTTTTTTAACAAAATATTTTTTTAAGGGAAAAGTTCCAGGAGGGATGAAGCGTGCATCAGGTGCTTTCTAGGCAGGATTACACAGTTTCAGTTACAGAGGATTTTACCATGGTCCCGTTCAACTGTCCAAAGTCTTAGGCTATGCATCTTTTTTTCAGTAAATCCAAGACCATTCTTAGATGCATTTGTGGTTTCAGGGCAGTGCTGCAGCGAGTTACTGGCCAGGGATTCAGACCCTGGGGACCAAGTCCCGTGAGCCCAGCACAGTTCCAATCCCCTCTCCCCCTCTCCTCTTGACTCCAGGTTCATACCACAGAAACAGGCACACAGATTCCTACTTCTGAGTTCTTGTACCTGCTGTGGAATGAGGACATCCCTAAACTGAACATATTCTTAACTCTCGACCTTAATTTGATGTGTCGGTCAGCCAAGAAAGTCATTGGAATCTTTGGAGCTTTGGGGTTTGCCAAGCGTGGAGAGGGATTGGGTTCTGTAGAGATTCAGTGGTCAGAAGCGGGTGGCTGCTCCATCTTCTGAGCTTTGCCTACCAGAGCTGCCTTGGTGGAGAATTAGGAAGAACAAGGGAAAATGCAGAAGTGTGTATTACAACAGGTGTGGTTTTGGTTTCTGATTTGTTTTTTTTTTGAGTGGCACCATAAACTCCGTTGTTCGTTAGCACCCCTAAACATTTCTAAACTTTTACACTTTGAAGGCATTTGTAAGCTCTCAAGGAGCACTTCTTGGTGTCTGTGTATATTTTTTTTTAACTTACCTTTTATTATGAGTTGTTCAGAGAAGAGTCAGGGAGATCCAGTATGATCAAAATCCAGCTGATAAGTGTTCACTATGCCTAATTTGTTCCTGCATTCAATTCTCCAGTTACTTAAATTAATTATGGCTTAGGCTTGTGAACTTTAAAGTTTCAACCCTGCAGATGATTCAGTATGGACAGACCCGCAGGCATGCACAGATCTGAGTCTAATGGGGCTGTATAAGAGCAGATGGTTTCCACCAAGTCACTCCCTGCAGGGGATCAAGGTCTTAGAGAAGAAGTGTCATTACCTGGCTGCCGTACCCCAGTCACATTAGAGCACTTTTTCCATTAGCTTTCTTTTTAGTCCCTCTTTCCCCCAGAAATTGTAACAAAATATGCCAATAGTGCAATGAATTGGGTTTGGTGACACATATTACTGGTTTTATTGGTATTAAAATATCTGCTTATTCTTGGAGGGAAAAGTCAACTGTAATAAATAATTGCGAAATAGCCTTCAGTGGTTAATGTCAGAAGATTGATTAAAAAAACCCAGTATATACAGAATGTATTTAAACATTCCTTTGCAGCAAATTAATGGTTAAATTTATTAATGTGCCCCAGACTTTCTAGTTCACAAGTCTCAAGACTTCCCAAAATAGCACAATCGATCACGCTGTGCTGTTGTATGTTGAGTCAGAATAAAGCAATATTTTAACCTCTGTCAAGTAAATTTGGAAAAGAAATGCTGAAGGTGTATGTCATTTTTTTTGTTAAGGCAGTAAAAAAAAATTAACAGTCTTCATTCAGCAAGTCTTTTTTTGGGTTTCTTTTATAGTTTTGATTTCGGGGTTTCTTTTAAATTGTCTTGTTTACAGAACTTTCTATGGCTGTAATCTTTGCTGTGTGTTTTCAGTAGAAATATATTTGAGGGCAAACTGTTGTTCTGTGCCCCAGGATGGAGCCTGTCTTGTTTGGACTCCCTTCTGCAAAGACACAGAGCTTTTGTTGTATCAGTGAGGTGGATCGCCATGACTTTTGGTCTCACCCTGATGTTTTTCAGCCCTATGTTGTGGCTGGGCACAGTCTATCTGCGTGAACTGAGCTGACTGTGTTGGGTGTGGTCCCAAGCCCACACCAGATAAATCCTCTGAAAGGCAGGGTGTATTAGGTGAGGCTCAGCTTTGCAACCCTACAATCATATGACTTTTCTGTTAACAGCGTTTACATCCCACCATCTGAGGGCATGAGCAAAGTGAGCTTGCTTCTACCCATAAGCCCTGTGAACATACCTGTAATATAAAAGCTGGTTACTATATAAAGCTCTGGTTCAACAATTTGTAAAGTATGATCACTATTAATAAATTTTTCACCATTAATTTCATCGAGAAGGTCTCTCTGCTAAAATGTGCAGAATCCTGCCCAAATTGATGTTTCAGAATTAAATCTTTTCAATCCAGACGTAAGACCTCCTCACCCCCAAATTCTTCCAAACTCTGCAGTTTCACCTCTGGCAACATAATGGAAACACACAACAAGATTTCAGTTGAAGAAAGAACCATATCATAAGCAATGCCTTTATGGAGTGAATGTGTTCACACAGCACCCCTGAAAGACCCAGAAAGAGGGGACAAGCAATGTATTTAAGAGAATGAAATGTCTAACTGAATGACAGATGAAGATCTGAAATGGTGAGGATATCTTCGGTTCATGTTAGAGATGCGATCTTGTACTCAGCAAAGGTTGTGTGACTGTTATATGTTAACTGTTCTATTCAGTTTTCAGCATGTTTGAATAGAGAGACGTTAATATTAACCATATGACAGACTAGTGTATTATTTGTTAAAAGTATTACTTCAGATCTTATTGAAACTGTCATTGTTTGCAGAGGAAAACAAAAAGGTTTGAAAACATCAAACTAGATAGCCTTAATGTTGTTTGTGTGGTTCTCTAACACAGCTGTTTTCCTCTGTGGACCTTCCTATTTTACAGTGAATGGGACAACATTTTCTCCGAGGTATGACAACTCATTATGTAAAGGATCCATAAGAAAGTTGTACTGAAACAGTCAAAGTGGTAGGCCAAATATTGCTTTACTTCTGGTCCCATTGAACTCAGTGGATTGGAAGGGCTGTGAGTCAGTGCAAAATGCAGTTCATTCCTAAATTTACATCTGTTCCCAGCCTTGGCAACAGTCTGTAATCCCCCTAGAAGAGGCTCTGAATTGAGTCATTTACCTGTAACACAATTAAAAATTTTATCTGGCCTATGAAGTTCCAGGTGTAGCCTGGTGTGAAAATTTGCACATGTAGCATGGCATTCAAGCAAACTGGGCAAACAGCTGGCTAAATAAATTGAACTTTCTCTGAACTGAACAGAGAAAACCTATCTCCCTTCAGCGTAATCCTGAGGAAAAGAATTATGGGAGATGTATGTCCTGATTTTTTTTTCTTTTGTTTAGAATTTTTTCAAAAACAATCCAAAATATCCCTAAAAAGAACCCCAGTGGAACAATCCCAGCATTTGAAATGGGAAATGTAGGTAAGTATGGGCACATTTCATAGTTTTAATCACTGAAAAACTCCTTGGTATCCCATGACCTAAAGCTTAAATGTTTTAATTTTTGCAGGATCACGTTTAGATCAACAAATGCTTCCGTGAAAAAAGAGCTGTTCAGAATGCTTTTGGTTTCTAGCCACGGTCTCGGCTGGTGTAGTCAATGCATATGACAGGGCATATTAATAGAGGATCACATCCCAAATCTGTACTACTGCAAGTCCAGTGTAGTGTGACAAAGCTTGGTAGTCTACCATATGATGTAAGCACTACTGCACTGATTTATGGAGCTACCTGCATTTTGCTTATGAAAATCACAGCAGTGTGTGAACACTCTCAGTGGAATACGGTGCGAGGTCCATTGGCTGAGTGATTGGTTTGTCAGGTCTCTCTGTCACAGGGGCTGAGTGGCCCTGGCCAGGCTCTAACAGCAGTGAACTTCCCACCATGTGGCTAATTCCAAAGTCACTCATCAGAATCCTGCAGCTCCAGGTTTAAATTTTGAAAAAAGCAATGAGTCGATGGCATTTGGTCATGACCAGGAGGCATGTGCTCGATATGCTCCTGAGTGTTCGGTTAATTCATGTCTAGTTCTCATGTAAGTAGGGAGAAAATCTGGATTCCTTTTCCAAGTCATCCCCAGCTTCCCTTAGTCTAATTTTGGACATTACTTGAACATTTCTTACTCTTGCAAGAAAGTCTGAAAATGAAAACCAAAGAAGAACTCTTTCAGAGTTCTAGCTGCAGTAAGTAAAATTGAAGCTTGAAGGAGCAGACCTGGAATAAAAACTGGTTTTGAAAGTGGTATTAATATCAATTGCCTTTCAATAAAATGGAATTTCCCTGTAAACCATTTACCACTTGGGAAAAGATGGGTAGAATGAGCTTATAAAGTGATTTATTATGTTGCCATGAATTTAAAATGCTCATCTCCCAGCCGATTGGAGAAAAGCAAATATATAGGATAGATTTTTCAGCTTTTGTGATATTATTTTTTTTTTATTTTACTTCAGTAGCCCCACAGGTCAATGATCCATTATCTGTATTGTCTGTCCTCTTTTGTGGTCCAAATACTGGACTATTAGATTTCCTTAAAGAGAACAAGATTTTATCTAAATTTTATTTTTAAATTATTCATAGAATAATATATTTCTTTATCTTGCTGAAAACATAAAGTGATGCAAACTTTTTTCTTTTTGTGCTGCATTATTGCTGAATTTGCAGCAAGATTATGCTGCCTTTGTTTTGGTATCTACTCACATGAAAACAACTGTGACACCCAGTTTTCAGGTTTTAGACTTGGCATATCCAAATCATCATATCAAACAGGATTTTTGCATTTTAAATAGCAAAGTTCAAACATGACATAGAAATGAAATAGCTACAACAGCAGTAAACTTATTAAGAAAGTTGTTTTGTGGTTTGTTGTTTTTTTCATTTTTATTCCATAGCAATTAGAGGATTGGGCCATGGGAATTGGTAGTCTCTTGCAAGTAATACAGTGACAGAATATATTAGTGGCAGTGGAAAGTCATTGCTGTAGCCCAGAACTAGAAAAGCCTCAGCGGAGGAGGAATCAGTCATCCAGTGTCTGCTGCAGGGGGTAAAAGTGCTTTCATTTTAATAGTGAAAACCAATATAGTTGTTTTTCTGTTGAAACTGCCATAAAAGGTAAATTATCTGAATTATATTAAGGACCATGGTGGTAGTGTTTGAGAAGAGGAAAAGAGGCAGAAATTCTCAAATTTGTAATGCTTGTCCTGTCCCTTGGAACAAAGCTAATTATGTTTTGATTCTTTATTATTACAGCACAGTTTTCAGTGCTGCAGAGACAGAGTGATCACACCTCACTGACAGCCTGCACTGACCCTTTCTTGCTTGAAAAGATTTAGCAGTTTCCTCTTTGATCAACAGCCCTGTAAACAAGGGATGATTTCCTAGTACCCCACAAGGCTGTTCTTGTGCAAGTTTTCCCAGATAAAAATTGAAGTAAAAATACAGCTATAATATTAGAGGGTTTTTTATGTAAGAAACTATATTTAATTTTATAGCTATAAAGAAGAGAGGTTACTGATGACTGAAGGATGTAAATAATGTATGTAAGTGGCATGGAAATCCTGTATTTGTACAATAGCTTTTGATAATACATTCTCTTAACACCATCAGGGGAGACCTACATACAGTTTTTATATTTTTTCCTTAACGGGGACAATGGTCTGTACCACATCACTATAGTGGCTGGCCATTGATGTACCCTTGTCCTTATTTTTTCCTCTTGCATTTCAAGACCCACTTCTGTGCTATCCCATGCCTGCTCTGGTTTTACTGAAATAATTGAATTTGTAATGATTCAGCATCTTTATTCACATTCAGTTTTACCTTGCCCTCAGCATCAAGAGTATCAGCCTGACATTTGGGACACTGGGGGTGTCCGCTGAGTAAATTTAAGGCCTAAAACAGTTTTATGCACTTGCATTTGTCTGCTTTGTGTTGACCTAACAGGAAATCTTTGCCTTGAAGAAGGATTTATGCAGCCCATGCTGCAAGGCATTTTCCTACCCTTCTTTCGTATCTGCCACTGTCAATATTTCCAATCTCTTCAGTCAGCTGCTCTGTTTGAGTTCTCCTGCCCAGCACTGGGAAGTTCTGTGAGATTACAGACCAGAAGCCTCAGACTTCTTTTAGCATACCAAAGACCAGAAGTCATCTGAAATGTCCTGAGCTATAACTTCAGATACAACTTTCTGCCTCTTACTACTAAAATGTCTCCAAAGGTTGAGGTCTCTAAAATGCATTGCATTAAATTATGTAATATAAATAATACCAAAGTGCATAAAATTGAGAGTTATATGGCAAATATTATTTTTTAGTGTATGTCTTGCTTTGAAGGAATACAGAACAAGAGCTCCCAGTTGGAAACTAAAAATACAAAAAATAATTAATATTATAAAATAAGAAATAGTTCCTTGCTTTCTCTGAAATAAACAGTCATAGTTGGAGGTTATCAAGATGCATCAGAGAAATGAAGACGTTTCAGTGGGGCTGTTTTATAAGTTATATGTCTAAGAGCTTTTCTCAAGGAATTCAGGCTTAGAGTTGCTTGACAGTACATTAAGATGATGTTTCCTCCATAACATTACTCCTGTACAGAGCCAAGTATTGCATACCTCAGCATAAGCAGGACAGAAATGCGGGATAGGTTTCACTTTGGCTTTCTGACTCAAGTTGGACTCACTT